AAAAAGAAATTCTAAAAAATATCATAACAGTGAAGATTTAACAGTTTTCAATTGATTGAATTCTTCCTTGCTATTGCTTCAGCTGAATTCTTCGGAAATTCAATTTCTGACATTAAAATATATTTTTTTCAAGACCTAAGAACTTGGAATTCTGATTTTATGACGTTATCAGAGGCTGCGAAATGTGCGGCTGCGAAATGTCTGGCTGCGAAATGTCTGGCTGCGAAATGTCGCGGTTGCGAAATGTCTGGCTGCGAAATGTCGCGGTTGCGAAATGTCCGGGAGCCGAAAACTTTACATTCGTAGAATTTTTGAAAATTCCTAGTTTTTCAGATACTTGCCGATTTCTGAAAGGCCTCCCTTTTTGAAACTTTCCGCTAAAAAGACAAAAAATCATTGAAATTTGACCAATCGCGGGGTTTGATCGATTTTGGATTTTGTGTTCCTCGTAGACAAGTCGACGCGAGAAATTTGAATTTTTGGGTTACAAAGCAGCTTAATACTCGATTTTGTGGTGCAAAATTCATAGAAACCATAAAAAATAGAAATTAAACAAAACATTGATTATTTCGTGTTTTTTACTCCTTGTGGGGGTCTTTCAGAAATCGGAGAATAGCTGAAAAGTGGTAATTTTCAGGAAAGTCTGTGAATCCAAAATTTGTAATCCCTCCAAAATTTTCAAAGTGATCGAAACTTGACAGCCGAGCTCCAGACTCATGAAAATGGTCAAAATCAACAATTATTGACCGGTACTGTAATTAATTCTAGGATTTCTTGACTACTAGATCTTTTGGATTCCTTATCCTCTGAATTGGTTGGATGTATATGAGACTCTAGGATTCAAAAAATCCAGGACTCCAAAAAAAATCGATAATTCACAATCCTTACATTAGGCAACTGACAAATGCCGACTCTGTGTGAAATGTATGCTCTAACCAATAAATTGGATAACTGAAGAGCCAGAGCAAGTCTCGGAGCATCCTTTTCAGCGCACATGTATCGAACTTCGTCGTGGATTGAGATCACAAATCGCGCATCGATTTGATAGGTGTCACACAGCCATTGCATCGAAATCAGGAGGAGATGAAGGAAGTCGACAGCGGAAGATTGGACGATCTGTGGAATTTATTACAGTTGTTTCTTTTTGGGGGGTACTTCAAAACTATTATTTGTTTTCTTTTTGCAGAATCTGAGAATATTCGAATCTCGAAATTTCAGAATTTGAAAATTCAGAATTCATAAATTCAGAAATTTGGGAACTCAGAAATTCCGAAATATTGAAAACCCGGAAAACCGAAATTTCAGAAATTCAAAAGTTAAGAAATACCGAAATTCCGAAGTTCAGAATTCAGGTTTTCAAAAATTCGAAATTTCAGAAGTTCCAGAATATCAGAATCCTAGAACTTGAGAATCTCAGAATTTTCCAATTTTTTATCAAGTTTTTTAATTTTCAGAATATTATGTTTTTCGTTGAAGAACGGAGAAAGAGGCGCGCGAGAGTTAAAGGCGCATAGACTTTCGGCGGCTTGTGGTCTCGCAACGATCGCGACCGCCGGGCGTGAAAATGGAGTTTTCAAACCATTCTACGTAAATTTAACGACCTTATTAATTGAACTTAAAACCTATGTATAATGAACTTGTAATATCAAAACCCTCTTTCAAAGTGATGATACAGAAAAACATATTCTCTTGGAGCGTAGAGGAAAGAGAATATAACATTTGTATATTTTCGAAGTTACAGAAATTCAGATTCTCCGAGTTTCAGATTATCGAATTTTTTTTTGACTTTTTAGTTTCAGATTTATTTCCTAGAGCATTTTTAGGGATTTCGAATTTTTTCAAAGTAATATTTTGAAAAAAAGAATTGGGAACATTTTAATGAGAAAAAAATATAATAAAATCGACCAACCCAATTCATAACCGATCTCTTATACTTCCGATCAAAAAACGCTGAATCCGGCGTTCCCTCCGGCAATTTTCCCAACGAGTCTGCAATCTGGCAGCCTAGAATTGGGGTCCTTAGGTCGTGAGCAGCAGCGGATGTCTCCAAGAAATTAAACGTCGACGACTCATATCCTCCAACAAATAGTTTTCTAGGCTCCGCCGGATTCTCGTAAATCGAGTAAATCAGATTATCGTGGTGGGACCCATCATTAAGAAGATCCGAATACTTTGAAAGCAACCAATCCTCAAATCCAACAGTTTCATATGAAAATTGGCTCGAATAACTAGGCAAATAGTAAACTCCATCGATAGTCAGAATTTTGGATTCATCTGGATTTTTCTGCATTTCCTCAATGTATCGATCCACCAAACAATTCATTTTCGAGTCCACTTTCATATATTTCGCCGTTTCTCCTTTCGTCAATTTGAATAATTGTGAAGCTGTGGCTTCTGCGTCCGTTTGTTTCATGCCTCCAACTCTCATCAAATGTTTTCCAGCATGCGTTTCTCCGGAACCGTATAGCCTTGCGTAATTGAGCACTTTCGCATGATTTCTACTGATTTTTAGCTGATTAGCGACGACGGAGTGGAGATCAGTGTTGTCAGATTTCGAGCCGGCAAGCATCATATTCGAGAATGCCGTTTTTCCGGGAACACGATGTTCCAGAGCTGAAAAATGGTGTTTTTGTAGTTAGTGGAGAAAAACTAGAATTTCAGACAAGTGGGTCAATGATTTTCGATTGCGTTTTTGATTTCAGCAGATGTAAATAGGCGATAGAAAAATTCAGAATGTCAAGGGTTTCAGAAGTTTCGTCTTTCGAATTTTTTAAATTTCAATAGTTCAGTTTTTCAGAATCTTAGAATTCACGATTTTCAGAATTCCTGAATCTCAGAATTTCAGAATTTCGTAATTTCAGAATTTCACAATTTTAGATTTTTAGAACTTTCAGAATCTACGAATCTGAGAATTCGCAAAATTTAAGGGTTTCTGAATTTCGAATTTTTACATTTTCGGAATTTCGAAATTTTCGAACTTTGAAATTTTAGAAATTACGAATTTTAGAATCTTAGAATATCAGATTTTCAATATTTCGGGATTTTAAAATGTCAAAATTTCAAAATCTCAAATTTTCAGTCCACACTCACGCAATCGTTTCTCAGCACTCGCATCTCCATACAATGCTGCTAACCATTGCTCCTGTGAGTCCACATCCGCTCCAACCAGCTTAAACCCCTTTGGTGCCTGTACCATCGCTTTAATTCCAGTTCCAATCACATGTCCTGTCGATTGATTCGTCAATGTGACCCATAATTTATGAACACTCCGTCGGGATACTGTACCAGCTGGTACTACAGCCGCCGCGATCGCTCCTTCCATCATATCGATTTCTCCGGATTTCCACGATTTTTCAGGGTACCAAATTGCCACTTCTTGTCTGTATCGATCGCTATAGCTCGTCCAGAATTGAGTGGTTTGGATGGAATCGAGAACCACTCGGAAAAGTTGCTCATATCTGGAAAAGAGTTATTCTGGTACAAAGTATGAAGGTCCCACAATTACAGTAACCTAAAAATGTTTTAATTTTCCGGAATTATTTTCTTGACTTCAGTGCTGTCAGTTATTTTTTAATTATCAAAAATTTCAATTTCCGACTTTTATGAGGAAGAAAAACAGAAAACTTATGGCAAAAAAGTGATTTTTGAGGTCGAAACAGGAATTTTTAGGATTAAAATATAGCATTTTCAGGTCGAAAATGGCATTTCAGACGTCAAAGTTGTGATTTTTGAAGTCTAGAACAGTCATTTTTTAGTCCAAAACGACATTTTTTAGAATTTTTAATGCTAAAATCGCAAAATTTTCGAGGGAAAAATTGATTTTTTTTTTCTTCGATTTTTAGCAAAATTTTTAGACCTTTTTAGGTTTTTCCGTTGTTTTCAAAGATTTTTTTTCGATTTTCCTCATTTTTTTTCTGAAATTTGGTGTTCTTGACAGAAGATTACTGTAGAAACCTTGTAGTTTGTAGTTTTTTTTGTAAGCTTGACGTGATTGTGTTTGCAAGAAAAATACGGAAGGAAATTAGGGTTCTACAGTAATCTACAGTAATCTTCAGTAGCCAAAACATCGTCCCGTCAAATTTCAGACAATAAAAAACCGGAAAATCGAAAAAGAATCTTCAAAAATAGCTGGAAATCCTAAAAAGGTCTAAAAAAAGTTTCCAAAAATCGAAGAAAAAATCAATTTTTTCTCTCGAAATTTTTTGCGATTTCTAGCATGAAAATTCCAGAAAAAAAAGTCGTTTTGGTCTCAAAAATGCCTGTTCTAGACCCCAAAAATCACATTTTGACCTGGAAACGCTAAATTCCTACTTCGGTATCTGAAAATTCCAATTTCGACTCCCAAAATCGCTTTTTTGGCTTCTTTTTTCATCTAATTTTCTGTTATTTTTCCCCAAAAATGTAGAAAAATCTAAATTGAAAGAAAAATTGACCAAAAATGCACAAAAAATGAGAAAATAAATCCGGAAAATAGATTGTTTAGGTTACTGTAGTTGTCGTTGTGGGACCTTCGGCCAAGGCCATCGACGTTTCTTTTCGGCCGGCACTGTATGTTTGTCGTGCCAGCATAATATTTTTTTTTCTAAAATTGTCTAACCTAGTTGGTCTCAAGACCTGCTCTTTCAAATCCTTTGCAAAATGTTTCGTCAGCGGATCACCAACATTTCCCTCTCCAGTCGGATGGTCCATCTGATAGAATCGAACCAATCCCGCCTCATCCATCTCAAACCCCTTCCGATCCTCAGAAATCGGATACTCTCCGAACTCATAAACATTATTCTGGACAGTTTCGTAGAAACTTCTCAACGGGAACCTCTTCTTCACAGCGTCCTCTTTAGCGTCAGTTTTCATTTCAATAAACGAGACATCCGGATCCTCCAACGCCTTCTCAACAGCCTTCCAATTCGGAACCAAGAATCCCCAGCCTTTGGAGCGAGTTTTAAAAAGTGGAAATGGGCCGAATACGAAGCCGAAAATTCCAGGAATCAGTTGACTTTTCAGTGCAATGTGTTCACTTTCCACCTCTTCTAAGCTCAAATTTGCAAACTTTCGAGCTTTGAAAAGTTTGATGAGCCATTCAGAGCAGGCTAGTTTAGAGTTAAGAGTCCAATCTTGGTTCCACATCCAGACGTCTTCAGGGCCAGGAGGCATTGGATTCTCTTCTTCCTCTTCTTCTCCAACCAATCCTTTTTCCAACATCCTAGCTGCCTCCACAATCCTCCTCGTCGCCAACGTCTTCTTCTCCGCACAAATTTGAACGTTTCTCTCATAAAAAATCTTCCAATAACTATTAATCGGCAGATACACATTTCCCATATTCAGCATCCCGGAAAGTGTAGCTGGATGAGGAAATCGCTTAACAAATTCCGGCCATAATCCGTAGTAGATTTCAGCGCAAAGAATATTATCTCTGGCACAATAAGTCATTAGTTTCTGGAACTTCGCTCGGATCGTTTCGATTGGTTCCTTGACAAAAGCGCTGCGAAGTTTGTCCTTCGATTCATCGTCTATTTTCGGTTTCTCCACTTCTTTGTAGGGGTAGAAATGATTGTGAACTGCCAGGAGAGAGTTCTTCGAGACTCGATCCTTCCAGGTGTTCACCCAATCTGACTGAAATTTTTTATATGAAGGGGGACCATAATTTTGTTTTGTATTACAAAAAAATGTTCCCAAAACAATAGGTTTTCATAATAATACTCTGAAAAAACTCTAAATTCCTGGAAAGCGCATCCAAAGATGGCCACTGTGTGCGATGTTTTTTTCATGAAATTTTTCAGAATTTTCCGCCTTTTATGGGAACAAAGACAGATAAATTGAGGAAAACAATTTGAAGCTGTATTTTAAAGGGGGACTCCGACCAGAAATTTTTATTGCATTAAAATGTGTTAAAAGTTATCTATTTTCCGAATATTATTGCGAAAAAATTCAAAAAAAATCCGAAATTCCCAAAAAACGCCGTTAAAAAGGAAGAAAATTCAAAAAAAGGTGCCGCCGGGTGACGAGGATTTTCAGTGAGAAACCTAGGCCACGGCATCTGACAGCCTTTTTTTCAAGTCGCCGACAGTGGTTTTTTACGTTTTTTACCTGCCGGACATGTAATTGAAAAAAATCTGGGAAATTTGCCACGTTGGAAAGGCGCCCGCTGCCGTGGCCTAGGTTTCTCACTGAAAATCCTCGTCCCCCGGCGGCACCTTTTTTTTGAATTTTCTTCGCAATAATATTCGGAAAATAGGTAACTTTTAACACATTTTAATGCAATAAAAATTTTTGGTCGGAGTCCCCCTTTATAAAATTGTCAAAAAGTGATTTTTGGGGGTCCAAATTGGAGTTTTCAGAAATCGAAATAGGCATTTCGAGGACTAAAATATAGTTTTTCCAAGTCAAAAATGGCATTATTCCAGACAACAAAATTGTGATTTTTAGAGTCTAGAATAGGCATTTATGAATCCAAATAGACTTTTTTTGGAATTTTAGCAATAACTTTCAAGAGAAAAAATTGACTTCTTTAATTTTTTGCAAAATTTTCAAACCTTTTTAGGTTTTTCAGCTGTTTTTGATAAAATTGAGGTGATTGTGCTTGCAAAAAAAAAAACTACAATATCGTTTTCTACAGCAATCTACAGTAACCTACAGTAATCTTCACGACGTCACATTTAATTTCAGACAATAAAAAACGGAAAAATCGAGAAAGAATCGTAAAAAATAGCTAAAACAACTAAAAAGGTCTAAAAATTTTGCAAAAAGTCGAAGAAAAACCAGTTTCTCTTTCGAAAGTTTTTGCAATTTTATCATCAAAAATTTCTTTAAAAAAGTCTATTTGGATTCATAAATGCCTATTCTAGACTCCAAAAATCACAATTTTGATGTCTGGAATGCCATTTTTGGACTTGGAAATACTATATTTTTGTCCTCGAAATTCCTATTTCGGTTTCTGAAAACCCCAATTTGGACCCCCAAAAATCACTTTTTGACAATTGTTAAAAATACAGCTTCGATTTTCTCGTCGAGTTTTCTGTTTTTTTTTCCAAAAAAAAGCCGGAAAATATATTGGAAAAATTGACTTAAATACAGAACATTCCAGAAGTTTCCAGAAATGGACGAGAATCGATTTTTCGAGATTTTACCAAATTTTTTTGAACTTTTTTCTTTGTTTCATTATGAATCGACATATTTTTCCGACGAATTTTCGACAGCCGATACCAGGGATTTCAATTTTTTTCTGAATTTTTTCAAAGTACAATTATGAAAATACATAATTTTGGAAACATTTTAATGCAGAATAAAACTACAAAAGACTTCAAAAATCCCTCTTACATTCGGCTCATTGTTATCCGTATCATACATTCCAAACAACGCCTGCTGATGATCCGCCATTCCAAACATCGGAATCGACATCGACATTGTGTCCATGAATCGAATCTTACACCCATTCTCCCGCTGATAAGCCTCTAAACATCGTGCTCTATCGAATCCCACATTATGTCCGATGACAATTTTCTCCGTTCCAATGTCTCCGATCGGAATCAAATGATCTTGAGTTGGAACTTCTGGGTAGTCTGTTTCATTGATCAGTCGATCACTACACCATCCATACCAAGCATCTTTTCCGAGGGCAATTGCTAGAGTGGGAAGAGTTCCGTCACGGACAACTAATTCGATATCAAAGAAGAGGATGGGGTCAGATGGAGATTCGATGGTTTCTGGGTTAGAGGGGTTGGATAATGGATAACGCGTCCAGCCTGTCGAATAGCACCAGAGCTCGTTTTTCTGGAAAAAAGTATCTAGAGATGGATTTTTGAAATTTTCGATTCTAAATGTTCAAAATTTTGGAATTCCGGGGAGAAAATTTCGCGGGAAAAGTGGGCATAGTCAGGGGGCGGAGCATAAGTTACTGCCCTGACACGGGTTTTTGCACATTTGGACACTATTTTGAGATATTCCGATTATCAGAATTTCGGAATTTGGCGATTTTTTAAAATTTTTTGAATTTCTGATTTTCCAATTTTTAAAGTTTCGGATTTTCTGAATTTTTGAAAATTCGGAATTTTTCGATTCTAAATTTTCGGAATTTTCGGAATATTTAGATTTATAAAAAATCGGAACTTTGGAATATTTGGATTTGCAAAATTTCGGAATTTCCGGATTATTAAAGATTATTAAAAATATTAAAATTTTCAAAATCTCAGAAAACTCCGATTTCGAAAATTCGGAAAATTTTGATTTTATGGGGTTATTCATGTAGCGAAAATATGTATTGAAATGCATTTCCTCGAAATTCAATGCATGAGCGTCACGAAATGTATTTCAAAGCATTTCGCGACATAACTGTAAATGCATTTCAATACGTCGCGTGGCGAGA